GTCCAGAGAGTTGCTGTAGGTTTTCACCCGATGCCCATATGGTAGTGTCGTCAGCAAACAAAACCACTTTCACTAAATCAGAAACCTTGCATATATCATTAATGTATAGTATAAATAATTTAGGTCCCAAAACAGAACCCTGAGGCACTCCACATACAATGTCCAGCTCACTCGATTGGTATTCACCCAACTTCACAAATTGACGCCTCTGTGTCAAATAACTTCTAATCCATTTCAGAACCATTCCTCTGATCCCATATTTTTCTAACTTATCCATTAATAACTCATAAGTGGTTTGTTAGTGGGGTTGTGTGTGAGCTGTACTCAAATGTGTGAGCCAAAATATGTCAGACCACTTCACAGTGTCTTGACTGATAAAAGTCTTTTCAGAGAAGGAAGCTGCAGTAGCTAAGAGCAGTGACACTCCACTTTTTGACAGCGGCTTTCGTTGATCCTTCAATCCAAAGGCGTCTGTCGGCCTATTCTTCTGAAGGCAACTGCAGCTTTTCTTTTTATTTGCAGACCCAAAAAAACTTCCTCTAAAAAGAATGTTTCATGTTTTTCCTGATCACAGATGCAGTGAGGACATTTAAGTGCCTCTCTCTCATGAGTAGCAACCTCAAGACATCGTCTCTGCTGCCAGCACTTTTTGACAAGCAGTATATTGCTAGCCAGCAGAAATCGAGCCAGGAACTAAGACCAGGAGGTGAGAAAGAAGGAAAGGTTTTAGTGCTTTGATCAGAAGGTTCTGATTAAGTGAAAGTAATTAAGACTGTGACTGTCTCTTCAGGGACCAGGCCTTCTCCCCCATCAATCAGCAGCTATCAGTGTTGTGCCTAAACCGGAAGACTGGCGGTACAATGTGGACAGACAGCACTTCTTTCGCACTAGTCATTCACTGTTCCGCTGAGCTGTGAGAAAACTGAGGCACAAGTTGTCGCTGGCAACTGACGAGGCAGAGAATATGAACAAGGTGATGGTGCGGTGATGAAAGCAGCCTGAGGCAATAGGCCTTTTGTCATAGCAGGAAAAGCACAGATGTAAAACTCAACTTTGCTGTTGCTGCAACAATGATTAGTTACATTACTAAATAAAATCCAGATCATATAACTAATTAATCCAATAATCACATGCTCTCCAAAGCATCAGAAAATGGTAAAATATGTGTATTATATACATCTATTCAACTCACAATGCTATAAACAAAATAAAAGCAGCTTATCTTTACACTGTTTAATAATAAACATCTAAATCTTTGGTCTTTACAGCTTGTCTTTTTTTACTTAAAGGATGTCTCAATTCAGATTTAAACTTCTCAGCAGCCAAAAGGGCATTTTCCTCTCATATCTCATACTGTGATGCAGCATCAAAACACCAAGGCAAATGCAAACTGCACTGAAAAGACAAATGCTCTTCTGTCAAAGTAAAGTAAAATGCAGCTATTTTGGATGGATGGAAGATGACATGAGTCCATTGACCTGCTGTCATGGGAGACTTGGCCCCTACTACGGTATACTCATCTCCCTGTGCTTGCAGCGCTACAGAAACCAGTGTACTGTATAATTTGTGTTTCTGTCCTGAATCGGTATGACATGAATCACTGCAGGGGATATATGTAAGGGAATAGCTGGTTAGTTAAAATGGAATACAGGCTGGTACAGCAAAAGGAAATCACCTGTCTGGTCTTTGTCTGCTCTGTGTTATGACTGTGGGGTCAATAGTCCATAGGATGAGCGGGCAGCAGAGGAATCGTTAACCTCTGTGCGCTTTTATAATGTCTTGTCAGGACCTCATGGTGAGATAATGATCTGGTTATGTGGTTTTGTTACCCATTTTTTCACCACGGTGAGAAAAGACCTGGGAAAAATGGAAACAATTCATATTACTGGTACTAACCTTGGCCTTGCCAGTGCTCTGCAGAATGTGGACCAGTGCGCATGCCATCTCCTCCTTGTTCTTGACGCTAATTCCGGGTTCAAGCACCGAGCATAGCAGCATGTAGTTATTGGTAGTGTACTCTGCAAACTCCTTGTACATCTCCATGGGAAGAATGTTCATACTCTGATAACGTGCCTTGATCCTAATCATTGGTCCAGATGTCTTGCCCTTAGCAGGGTTGGGTGTGCTGACCGGATACCACTTCTCAACAAACTGTCTTCCGGTAACAGCTGCGACAGGGATGATGACGAGTCCAATGTAATTGTTTTTATCTTTCTTTTTCTTCTTGTCCGTGTCTTTGTAAAGGTGGGCTGTGATGCTCTTGACAGCAGGCAGGTTATTGAACTCAAAGTGCTCCCCCCAAAAGACATTGTCAGTCTTGAGCTTACAGGTGGTGCGGGCGTAAAGTGAGTCATCGAGACAAAGCTCACAGAAGTATTTCTTTTTGGCTGGCAGGTCCTTGGCCTCAATGATCCACAGCCTCAGCATGTTCTCCACCCGACGACTGTTGTCCTAGAGATAGAGAAGATGGTGGTGGTCAGTAAGGTCTTTAAGAATGATCTGACCAAAAAAAAGATCCACCGGCAAAATTACATGAGAACATACTGGGTGAAAGTAACCAGCCTAAAACTAATTCAGTAAACCATTAAAAGTGAAATCAAACAACTACAATAATGAATGAGTTAAATGACAACCTGCCTCAAACTGAAATGTTTTTGATTTAAAATGGAGAAACCTCAGACAATACTTTTATTTTCCATAGAAACCTTCTCCAGGTCAGACATGACACCGTGGGTTGAGTCCATAGAAACAATTTCAAAGTCATTCTTTTTTCCAATTCCAATTTTTAAGGAGCCAAGAAAATTCACTCCTACGTTCTTTCTCAGAGCGCTAAGCAATCCTTCTGGCATTAATTGCCAAGATTGGGGCATATTTTTGGCCCATTATTCAGATTGCCTTGAAAGCTACCACTAAAAATGAAGGGAGGAAGTGAGGAGATAATGATATTATTAGAAAGAAATACCAGAGACTCGCCTAATGACAAGGAAGCCGTCTGATGTTCATCAGTATCTTGATGCTTCTAATATCTCAGACAAAAACACCAATGGAAAATATTTATCTCTAATGTTTTGATCATTAAATTCATCCTGACATCAAGTGTTTCTGAACATTTAATCTGTCTGTAGTTCATATGTCTTTAATTTGGGAGCTAAAAGTTGAGGCAGTAGAAGCTAATCTGTTAAATCTTTGGAGATGTGTTGGTCAAGAGTCTCACCATCAACATACAGCAGGAAGTAGGGGAGTCTTCCTTTGCAACAGTGAGCAGAACTGGGTCAGATGCCAGGACTATTTAGTGACCTCACCAAGAGGGAAGTGGCATTTTTCATAGCCTATCAGGGTTCTGTCTGCCACCAACAGAAACATTTATTCCCTTCCACCGTTTCCAAAAAACATCCAACCTAGCCTCTCTTTCTTAAGAAATGCCAGATCACTGAACTTCCCTTCAGTCTGAATTCCCACCTTCTCTATCCATTTATCCAAAACATGCCAAGTTCTAATCCATGTCTAGTTATCCCACATTCTCTCAGGATGAGATTTCTTGTTCCAATGTCCAGGGTCATCCTACACAAATACACAACGCATCCCCTCCTACAAGCACTGACAGTGAAATTCAGTCACTTCCCTTCCTTATTTATGTCTCCTGGAGATGCCAGATACCTTGATTTGCATGATTCATCTGCTAAGTCATCAAGCACACCATAATCAGTAGGACAGCTCTACCGTTTCACTCAACCAAATGAAAATCTACAATTTTTCATAAACACTGTTATATATCTTCTACATTTTTTCTGCAGCCTTCAGTCTCTGAGGTGTGTATTCGGCCTCACTCCTTGTCAGCAGTGTTTCCAATTCTCCATTTCTTCCTACTTTATGTTGACACAACACCTTACTCCTTAGTCTAAATTAAGGCACACCATACTCTCAATTAAAAATTTAACCTTGCGATTTATATCTTTTCATTCACACAGAAATGTATTTGCAATCAAACACCAGCCCACAAAGATGATACCAGCTGTCTATTAGGATAATTACCCATAATTATCCTCTTATACAAGAACTGAAATGTGCAGGTTCAGCATTTAGCCCACCTTGTTTCATTTAGCTCAGGCGTACAGGCACTTGAAATGTATTTCTTTTGCTATTCCATGTTTAACCTGACAGGCATCACCAGCCTTTTACCAAACAGCAACAGCAGAAAAGAGATTTTTGGGGCGAGGTCATAATAAGAAATACTGGCCTGTAAACCACAAAGTCAAACAGGTTGACACTTGTGTGCATCCTGCTCTATTCATTTTTGTCTTTGATGACCAATGTGTCATTGTAGATCATTAGAGATAATGATTGAGGAAAATATATTTTTCAGTAAATAAAATGACTTGTAAGAGTTTTATTTATTACATTTACTTCCATTCATTTTTGTCCTTTGTTGTTATAAACAAATGTTTTCACGTCAATGTTTCACCTCGACCTTCGGTCTAGACTGAGTAGCAGCAGTAGTAGTGGTGGTAAAATTAGGAGCAGCAGATGCAGCAGCAGTGTAAAAATCTGTTAATCTATTTAATAAAACCTGTTTATGTAATTCCAAACAATTTCCATATCTGTTTCCAGTTTCTATGTTTGCCAAAGGGAAAAAAAACTGTGCTGCATCTAACCTTTTAAAATCAAAGAATAATTAAAATGCACAGCAAAGAGAGAGAGAGTGTCAGAAATAACACTTCCTTGCCAAAAAAGCTGAGGACAAAAAGGACTAACACTATTAGCAAACTTTTTTCCCTTTTGTTCTAATTAATGAGTAATTTGCTAAATAATTACAGATGAAGGAACTACAACGCTGTAAGATTAGGACTATTTTCTTGGCTTGAAATGTCTGTTTTTTAAGATTACAGATGGTATCACTGCACAGAAGTGGAAAACACCTTAGGAAGCTTGCTGTTCCTCCCTGCAACCTCTGCTCCTGAGGTATACAGTGCAGGAAGACCAACTGCTACAGGTAAACAGATCAGATTGTATTGTTGTAGAAGTTGGCACAGTGTGGTTTGGAATTGGGACACATGTATATTAACTTATTAGTGTTTGATTACTTCACACAGTCTGGTTGCGCAAACTGTGCATTGCATACTTACCTTGTTTGGTTGTACTGCTCTCCTCAGATTCTCCATCCATTTGTCTCTCTCGGCTGAAGAACGGCAAGAAAAACATTTGCTTCCTGTGGAGGTGGTGACCTACCGCCGTGACCACAGAGACAAGCAAAATGAAGGCTTTAATGATCACAGCTCATGCATGACAATGACAGACAATAAAAGGAACAGACATGATTTCACTGAACTTAGTTCATAATTTCACTCAGCCTGAGGCATCCACAGCTTCCACTGCTAAGACTCAGCTGCACATGTTTGTGCACACAAACCACGCACATGTGAATTCATACTGTAATTAGAGGCAATGTCTTTCATAATTAGCTGGAAATTACTCCAGTCAAATGATGATCATGAGGATACATCGATATTCACAAAGCCAGCGAGACTCAACAAAATAGTTGGTGTGTTTCCATTTATTTTCTACAAGCAGGGGAATGTCAGCAGGAGCTAACCAGTCAGTTGCTTCTGTGTTTTTAATAACAAAAAGCTGGCTGTATCTGAACTTTTGGCTGTAATTGGCCATCAGCATCTAATCAAGAACTGGAGATGCAACAGAAACATTTAGCGAGAATAGCTGTTGGCTTTGAAAGTGCTGTTCCCAGCTGTTCATTCATATTTCAAAGTAATGTTTTAATGGTGCACTCAGCAAAATAGGAGTCTGGGTAATTTAACTAAATGCTGTACATTTGTAGTGGCCATCCATTTTAGTGAGCACAGCTTCATTTCTTCGGTGCTTGAGAAGTCATATTGTTTTTGCCAGTTTAATATGAGCCTCAGTCAGTGTTGCTATTAGAGCTGAAACAAATAGCTGATTAGTTGATCAAGAGGACATTAATCGTGCTAATGATTTAAGGCATTTCTTAAGCAAAAATCCAAAATAATACCTACTGCAACTGCAGCACCTCAAAGTAAAGATTTGCCATTTTTTCTTTGTTTTATGTGACTAGAAACCCAGTGTTTTTGGAACCTGTACTGCTGAATCTAGGGAATTATATTTTATCACTACCTTGTGACTATATTTAGACTGATTAACTGATTATTCAAGGAAATAATAATTTGATAAGGAAAATAATCACTAATTACAGCCCTAGTTTCTGTGGAGAAAAGGCCAGAGGAGCAGATCAAGGATGTAGCAAACTCAAAATGTTTTGTAGTTGCATTTGAGAAACTTCAGTCGACCCAGAATCCAAAACCAAACCAATTAAAACTGATCATGTTTAAACCTTTAGCTTCTTCTGAGCATGTGCAGTGCATACAAAAATTCCTATAAAAGTAGCAGGAGAACAGCGTTTCACACACAGCATTGACATACTGTTGAGGAGTTAGTGCAGGTGACTTTTTACACATCCAGCAGATATGGAGCAGCATTAGTCGTGTCTGGCCACACGATTATTTCATTAGAAGCTAAATGCTCCACTGTGAGCCCTTTCACATTTGGCACACTGCTCTAACAAATAAATAAATAAATGCAGCTATAAACTTGGTAACTGGTTGTTTATCAGATTCACTCTTAGTACATTTTTCTCAAAGAACCACCCATCAGTTGTTTATCGTTTGTCCCAGTGATGAAACCAGGAGAGTTTTATGTCTATGTAGAAATTGAAAAGCACTTTTACTTAAGGAGCCCCAAATGCTACTGTGCAACTCTACAGAAACACCAGATGTACGGCCATGTGTAGACACATTAATAAAGCATCACCTGTAATGTGAATGTGCTGTATGTGTGTGCGTGCCTTTTCACCTCAAAGCAGTAGTCCTGCCCAAGGATGCTGCTGTGAACGGGCTTGATGGTAACCTCGTCCTCCATACTTAGGTCCAGGGCTTCCACAGCGTTACTGGGGCTGAGCAATGACTCATGGGAGCGAGACTCCTTCAGCCTTGGCATCAGATGAGATCTAAGAGTGGAGAAGAAGAGGGAGAGAACTGAGTCACCCTGCAGAGTCTGAGCAGAGGAAGTGAGAGAGAGGGAGCATATGCACTGTGCCTATCAGCAAGTGTTCATGGTGAGTGTGAAGGAAGAGAGTGTGAGAATGACAAGGAGAGGCTGCTCCACTTGTCTCAAAGTAAATGAGTTATCAGCATGACAAGCTTGCACACTACTCTATATCAACACATGTTCATGAACTTGTAAGCATCCACTTGCTAATGGATGCTTTGTGACTTCTCATTCACAAACTGAAACATCAGTGATTGAATGAAACAAGCATGAAATGATTTAGTGGAACCACCATAAATGACATTAATGGTTAGACAGTTTCTAAGACAGTTATAAACCTTGACAAACCACCGACTGTTGACTGCATATGCTGCGGTTAACATGCTGGACCTGGTTGTGTAGACGAGCTTCCATGGTTGTGTGAAGGTACATACAGTGCGTACAGAAAGTATTCAGACCCCCTTAAATTTTTCACTCTTTGTTATATTGCAGCCATATGCTAAAATCATTTAAGTTCATTTTTTTCCTCATTAATGTACACACAGCACCCCATATTGACAGAAAAACACAGAATTTTTGAATGCGGCCATGAGGAAAAAAATGAACTTAAATGATTTTAGCATATGGCTGCAATATAACAAAGAGTGAAAAATTTAAGGGGGTCTGAATACTTTCTGTACCCACTGTATCTATTTATGGCTTTATCCAACTACAAAATATTAAATAAACTCCAATATTTTATTTAGACCTTAACTTTTCACTCATTGCTATCATACGCATTCAGCAAGTATAAATGAAAAACATGAAATAAAGTTAAAAGGAGGAGACACATGGGGTTACTACTGCTATACATTTGTTTAACTACTACTTCTGACCATTACTACTGCTAAAAATAATGGTGATAACAGCAGCAATGACAGCAAAATGTGATTAGGAAAGGCCAGAGTGAGCAAATGTTATGTGAACCACTGTAAGAACTGAAGAAGTGATGTTGCCACTCTGGTCTCCCCCTAAATCACAGGTGATTTGGTTGTTTCCAGAAGTACATACAGTATGTTAAGTTGTATTATGCATGTGCTATTTTACATGCTAAGCATGTTAACACTAGAACCGCCAACAATGCAGTACCTCCTAGAACCGCCAGGATGTCATTTTGACCTCGCACCACTTCAGGCTTTATAATTGCAAATTAGAAGTCTATTACAGGAATGTTTGGTCATTTTTTTCCAAAATGGCATGTAAAAATGGATGAAATAATAAAACATCAGAATTTTATTTCTTTTATTTTAGCAATATAAAAATATAAATTCACTTCAGTTAATCAGTGGAAAAATACATATAATAAAATATGAGAAATTGGTCAAACAGATAAAAACATTAACATTGCTCATAAACACTGAACAGTACAATAGTTACAGTCCAGCATAACATAGATAGACAACTTTAGACAACTAGAAACTGAATTTCTTCAGTGTGAAAATGCAAAATTCCTTCTCTAGAGCCAGCGTTTGTTGTCTCCATTCTGGGCTACTGTAGAAACATGGTGACCTCTGTGAAAGGGGACTGCTCCCTAATATACAGTGGCAAAAAAAAGTATGTGAGCCTTTTGGAATTTCATGGTTTTCTGCATTAATGTGTCACAAAATGTGATCTGATCTTCATCTAAATCAAGAGTACTGACGAATATAATGTGCCTACAAAAACAACACACAAAAAAATTAGGATCTGTCATGTCTTTGAGAATAACCATAAAAACCTCACAGTGCTAGTGGAAAAAGTATGTGAACCCTTGAGTTAATGACCTCAAAAAAAACTAATTGCAGCCAGATGTGACATCATTATGTAAGTTGAATAGATTTGAGAGATGAAATAACAGCAAAGAAGAAATGTGTTGGACCCGGAGATGAAAGATGATTGGATACAAATACACTTTTGCAAAAGCCATAAGTGAACAGACAACAGAAAACAAATTAGAAATGCACAAAGAAGCCAACCTAAGAAAATATAAAATGTAATAAAAAGAATAAATGTAAAGTAAAAACACGATGACAGCTGGCGCATTGTGCTGAGGATGCACACATTTCTGTTCACCTTGCCCTGGTATATTGTGAGTATTGTCTTGTCACTCTTCATCACTTTGATGTCATGTAGAGGTGCTTTCTGATGCACAGAAGATGGGAGTGAACGCCTGTTTTTGTTCACAGTGCCTACCAGGCTGGTGTTCTTTACTAGGAGTTTATGAACAAGGTGGAGCGATGTGAGAAAGTTGTCTGTAGTGACGTTTCTCCTCTTGGCTAGGTAAGGCCACATCAGGTTCATCACTACACTATACTCACTTTGTATCTTGGTTGCCTAGCAACGCCTATTGTTAATTTTGGAAAGTATGTGTGTGTGTGTGTAAGAATGGGGGAATGTGAGGCATTACTGTAAAGTGTTTTGAGCTGTGTATCTGACTTGGCTATATAATGTATATGGCTATACAAGTGCAGTCTATTTACCATTTTTGCATTAGGAGTAATGGAGGTTAAAATGACCTCATGGCGGTTCTAGTGTTAAAACACACCCACTGACCTTGGTGGCCTGCCATACATAACAAACCACTCTCTCTTTTGTGTTATTTAACAAACATAACATACCACACACATAACACTGTTCTCATAGTGCAATGGAGATGAGCTGACATTTATGACAGGAGCTCAAAGTGCACTTTAGAAAGCGTTCAGTATTCTCACAAAGGCAGCCCTATGCTTGGCCAGTTTCAGTCAGAGATAGTAAGGAGTTAAAGAAAAGAGCTTTCCACCAGTTGCTTTGTGTTTTTAAAAGAGCTAGACGGGGTGACTGTCACCAGGAAAGAGCCAACGTGTCTCCATACAGCCTTTATATTCCCGTTAATGTTTAGCCCAACATTTAGCTTTTCATTCAACAGCCACCCAGTTATTGTTCAAAATGCCATGAAGTGAACAAAAAGGAATTGTTGTCTTAAGTCACATGTACAGTGTCAAACACCAGCCCAACATCAAACTTACCCATGTTTCAGTCAGCCTCACAATAAGAGCGACAAGCGAGCTACAGAAACATTAAGCCCCGACACTCAGACACTGGCAGGATGAGGACCACAGACAGCCAACTGCTAGTGTAATGACAGGGAACATTCATTTAATGGTGCCCTCTATGGGCACACTAATCCCATGTATGTGTGTGTACTGTACATCTCTTCTGGGGACTAAAAGAACAGTCAGCCAGCTTTGTTGTCAAATCCACATAGTCCAATGTGAAGTGGATAATAATCTCAGCTCTACCTCTCTTCCTATATACACACACAGACACACACACAGAGGCAAAATTGACCCTGTAAAATAAATGAAATAAATACATCAACATTTGCCAACGCCTCAGGGATAGCTCTGCATATTAGAATCCAGTTTTAGGTGAACCGAGCCTTTTTCAAAGCACAGTTGCAGAGGAAGTGTGTTTGCACCTAGCTCTGCTTTGTGATTGGTTGACTGGGTACTGGGCAGAACAGAGAGCGAGTCAAGTCATAAATAGAAGAGGGGAAACAGAGGTTTCCTGTTAAAGACAGACAAGGATGGGAACTTCATGTCTACAGGCCCCAAACCAGAAAGATAACATTTCTATGTCTCACAGACTGACTGCCTGACTTAAGGGACACAACCTGGTCTTAATGATCTGACAGCAGACATGTTTCTGATACTTAGACATCACAGGTGATGGGAAGCATGGAAGCAAGTTCTTGTTTAAATGGACTAGTCACTGTAGCTTGCCAAAAGCCAGATCCTCTGGAGTAATATTCTGCACATTGTGTAGAAAAGTTAATAAGGAGAGAGGAATGCAAGTTCAGAAAGGAATGGATTTTATTATTCTGCTATAATTTCCTTTTTCTTTCAGCATATCATAAGAACATTAGTGTCAGTGAAAATGGTAAGATTCTGTGAAAGTATGAAATGATTATTAATGCTGGCTGTCACCTCTATGCTTCTCTATTAAATTGTACTATAACATGTAATTAATAGCCTACTTTGTAAAAATGACTGTGAAAGATTGGCTGCTCATAACTTCTGTAACACCAAGTTTGACACACTGTTCACGTCAGTCTCAGCAAATAACAACCAGCACTGTCCTCATCTCTTCATTTCTCTGGTCTTTCTTCTTCCCTGAACATCATCTACACTGTCCTTCTACTGCCTCCTATACCGTCCTAAGTGTCCTTCTGTATTGGGCGCCCCAAAAGCTGAATGGTTACAGCAGCAGCTCGAGAGCAGCTGCTGTTATTTGTCGCAGGTCTCCCCGTCTCTTCATCTCCCGTCCACCTCTCTGTGACCCACTAACTAATAAAGGCAAAATGTGCCCAAAAAAGATTTTAAAAAGTCCTTCTTTGTCCTTCACAGTCCTCTAATACTCTGCCTCCATTTCACTCCTATCCTGACATTCTCTAACAATGCTGACCTGAAGTGGAGGCAGTAGTTTATGTTGGGTTGGTTTTTGATACACATCTTTCCTTCCCGCTCTTCTTTTTCATTGTGTTGTTGCTCTCTCACTGGTTTTTATCTGCCTTCTCTTCTGCTGGCCAATCAGCCTGTCTCTCGTGATCATCTAGGCTTCATTCACCTACAATATCTATTTCAGATGTGATACAAATGCCTCAAACTGTTCAGAATCGCCAGTGAAAGCATCCTCTGATTGGTGACTACTACAGTATGTGCAGCAAAACAATTGGTTAGCTTTAACATTTACTGTAGATTTTCATCATTCAAAAGTCTAAGTGGGTTAGCAATGTAGATGAATATTTACTATTTAGCTAAATGCCACTGCATCAGGCCAAATCCTAACAGCACAGTCAGAACTAGATGCACTGTGCCCTGCTAAGGCTCTATAGAAACTTACTTAGGACTAAGTATCAGGGAGGGCAGAGCAGAGTAATGCTAATCACTTTTAATGGCC